CTCTGCAAGATTCCTCCACTTCACTGAACTAGTAGACGGACAACATTATCACTGCTGGCTTTACAGAAACATTAGGAACACTTAGAAAGGTACATTCATTAACACTGGTCCTCCTTAATATAGGTAATAACAATACTATTAGTAAATAATTATAAAAAGGTTTTAGGGCATTGTGTGAATATAAAAAAGTACATCCATTACCCTGACCTTTGATGGTAAACTGGACCACAGCAGTAGACCTGCTCAGCCTCCTGGAAGGACACATCTTCCTGGACAGACAGGCCATATATGAGGGCCTACCAAAAGAAAATGGTTAATTTTGAAACAATATAATTTAAATATACCATTTTACAGCAGAGCAGCCGTGTTAGACAGGTGCATACACAAGTAGCACCATGAAAGGCATGCTGTTTGTTTAGCCTTTAAAAGTGCAGGAGCACAAACATGTATAAATATCAACTTCGTCGGGTGGAACAAAGCTGAGCAGAATGGGCAGTGGTAGTTGTCCCAGCATGTGGTGCACTTCCTTAATATGGGGATGGCTCTGTTGAATTGTTATGTGCATCTTCAATTAAAGAGAGAATAGTTGGTCAAATTGAATCTTTTCATATTATTTTGCAAATATAATTAAACATAAATTAGGCCTAGTCCTAGAACTGGACTAAGACATTTAGAATGTTCTGTCCTGGGTTTAATCTGTGTAATGATATAACTTCATACAGGCTGTACAGCAGACAGAGTAGATGTGCTACAGGAGGCCAGAATAATCCTACATCAACATTAAGTGTTAAAATGCTAAATGTCCCAACATGACAAAACAATGACATAATATGAGGAATCACTATGAAAACACATACTGTGGAGGAAAATGTCAATACTTTTTAACAGCCCGTTTTCACAGCAGACATTTGGACGAGTGAGGTAGCTGATGATGGTCGCTACCATGGAATGTCCCTCAGATGCATTCAGGTGCAGCACGTAAATTTAACAACTTATGCTGGAAGAGCCAAAAAGATTGTTTCAGACGGTGAAGTTTCTGTTGTATTATCCTCATTTCCCTAGGGCTGGACCAGAATAGCCGAATAGCTGACTATTCGTTCGCTATGCTGGCATCAGGATTGCAATTTTGATCTCAGAATATCCCTATTGCCGACTGCACGAAGGAACCCTGAATGCACCATGTACCTGGACGAAGCGCAGATATCGCGGCGAGTGGTTTTTAATTCGTAATAGCGGCGGGTGGAGAGACACCTGTACAGATTTGAGGAGTTTATCTGAAGTTTCTCTGTACGACATTTAACGAAAGGATATACGAGCGGACTCGATCAAGGTAAGTCACTCAGAGATTCATTGATGTTTCATGATATCGAAATCCATATCGTCGTCCGCACGCAGTGTGGCTTAGAAAAAGGACGCTGCTGCTTGATGAAAACTTAGGGTGTCATGTTTTGATATCGTTGCAGCTTTATGGCGACGTGGAAATGGGATAAAACCACAGACTGACATGATCAAACTAAACTGTGTTACAGGGGTACGTCGTCCTGTAGCGGTGTGGGTGCTAGCTAGCGCGTGCCTGTGTTTGTCCTGTGATAGAGAGACAGAGGAGGTGTGTGTGTGTGTGTGTGTGTGTGTGTGTGTGTGTCTGTGTGTGGTAGGCCTGGTCCGCATAGCAATTTCTGATCTCCGGACATTCGGCCGCGGGGTAGTGACGGGGGGCGCTTGGGCTCCGACTCCACTGGAGTGAGCGTGACGTGTGTGGTACATGAATGGTACACTCATCTGCGTACCCAGGGCTCCTGACTAAGACCAAAATAGTGGCATACATTAAGTTTTTTGAGTGTGTGAGGTCATGTACATTTAACTTGATCACATTCCTGAGTGTATTGTTGTGGGATGTGTCTCCATGTGAAGTGGGCAGCGCTCTGTGTGTATGTGTGAACGTGAGCGGCCGAGGCGCGCCGCCGACAGCGACCCGCGGAGCGAACGGGTGTGTATGTGTACCTGTGCGGAGAAGCAGAGAGAGAGAGAGAGAGAGAGAGAGAGCGCCGGCGACCGGGCAGGTAGCGAGGATGTGCTTTAACACAGTGCTGTGTAAATAAAGCCAGAGTATTCAGCATAAAGCGGCCTGTTTCTTGTACGCTGCACCGCCGCATCAGACAACGTGAAAGCCCAACGGGAGTTGACCCCGGACGAAGAAGTCGCCTCCGGCCCTGGAGGGAAGCTCTCCCCTGTGTCCCCGACCACGGTTAGGAGACTGAAGGCAGGAAAGGTCAACAGTATGTTGATGACGAGTCAGATATGGAGTCCCTGTGATCGGTGCAGGCAGCTACTGTGCTGGATTGTGGTTGACAGTCGTACTTATTCTTCCTCGTGTTGTGAGTCTCCTTTGACAACAAATGAATAATGGTTGTGAATGTTGTATCAAACTAAGGGCATGACGGATATAGGAGAGCGACCTAATCATGGACCAGAATCAAGATTTTTTTTTACATTGAAAAAAAAAAACACATGTAGCATCCACTTCCCTTTTAAAAAGATGCAATTTATATTTAAGTTAAAACTACCATTAACATAGTTTTTTTTGAAGTCTGTGACTCATTCAGTTTTATCTAGTAAAATCACAGTTGTTTATACATCCATGATCTATACACCGCTTAATCCTCACTAGGGTCATGGGGGGCTGGAGCCTGTCCCAGCTGACTCAGGCTGAGGGCAGGGGACACCAGTCTATCACAGGGCTTCACTTAGAGACAGACAACCAAGCACACTCACATTCACACCTACGGACAATTTA